CTGAAGGCAGACGCTTAACGACTGAGCCACCCAGGCGCCCCAACCCCTGAACTTTAATAGTAGTTCCAGGCATTAACATTTGGAGCCAGACAGATCTGGTTCAGCCATGTCTGAAGCCAATGAGGTTCTGCATTTTCCCACTCAATGGGCCAATAATTTGCAATACCCCCTTAAACATTTTTTTTAAAGCCATGTTAAATTGGGCTTCTGTCATTTGCAACTAATAAAGTAATTAGAATTTACTTTAAAACATTATTTAAGGGGCACCTGGGTGGCTCAGTCAGTTAAGCGTCTGCCTTCGGCTCAGGTCACGATCCCAGAGTCCTGGGATCTAGCCCCACATCAGGCTCCCTGCTCAGTGGGGAGTCTGCTTCTCCTACTCCCTCTGCCCCTCACCTGGCTCGTGCTCTCTCTCTCAAATAAATAAAATCTTTATGTATGTATGTATGTATTTATTTATTTTAAAAGATTTTATTTATTCATTTGAGACACAGAGATACAGACAGAGAGAGAGAGCATGAGCAGGAGGAGAGGCAGGGGGAGAGGGAGAAGCAGGCTCTCCACTGAGCCAGGAGCCCAATGTGGGGCTTGATCCCAGGACCCTGGGACCATGACCTGAGCCGAAGGCTGACGCTTAACCATCTGAGCCACCCAGGCGCCCTCAAATAAATAAAATCTTTAAAAAAAAAAAGTTATTTAATCAGTACTCTACCAGGAGTGTGTATACTTAAGGTTTTCCCACTTGACTATTATAATCAATGCTGTCAGAAACATTTTGTACATGTATCTTTACACAGTCCTGTGAATATATGGATAGGACACATTCCTAAAAGAGGAACTGGTAGATGAAAAAAAATATGCATTTAAAATTTTGACTGCTATATCCAAATGACCTTCCAGAAAGGTTGGCCAGTTCACACTTCCAACAGCATATAAAAAATTTCTGTTTCCTTACATCCTTATCAGCAATAGATACCATTCTTTTTTGTCCACCCCTAAAATAGGAAGTTTTAATTTTTCGTTTCTATGATTACCGACATTATTCAGGGAGGCTGAGCATCTTTTCACATATTTAACCTGTGGATTTCTTTTTCTATGAACTGCTTTTCCTAACCTTTGTCCATTTTTCTACTAAGTTGTTTATCTCTTCTTATTTATTCCAAGGAGCCTTTTACATATGATGGATAGCAATCCTTTGTCTGCGGTAAGCATTGTGAGATACATGGAGGTTTTGAGGCAGATGAGATCCTGGGCCCAGAGAGTCCCTAGGGTGGAGGGGACTTGGCTATTACCTGGCTTAGGTCCTTTGGATTCACAAAGATGTTCTCAGCTGTCACATTTCCATGGACGTACTCATTCTCATGGAGGAACTCCAGGGCATCCAGCTGGGGGAAGAAAGCAAGCATTTCCATGATGACAAACAGAAAGAGGCTCTGAGGCAAAGCCCAGTGAAGGAACCTCCAAGTTAGGCCTGGGGTCAGGAGGTACTACTTGTGATTGGAGGGGAGAAGGGTGTTTAAACCTTACTAATTCTGAGTGAAGCATTAGGAAGTCCACTCTTGATGACATAGCTAAGCATGTCTTCTAATTAGACTTCTGAAAAATCAGCATTAAAGGTAATACTGGTTTTCCATCTATCTCTTTTACCTATTTCTCACTTGACTGCAAACTCAGGAGGGGAAGATGTCGGTTACTTATTGCCACACTGTACCCCCCAAACCCAAAAAGCAAAACCCAACACCCACATATACTAAAGACCTCATTTCTCCCAAAGAGCAGAAATAATGTTTAGTTAAGCAATTTGTATTTCTTAGCCCTAGCTCTGACTTCTCCACTGAGCTCCAGACTCATACACTGAACTGCCTGGGTTTACTTATATCCTGAATATATCCCCAGGCCCACCTTGACCCCAAGGCTTACCTATCCACTAGGTTCTACTTGTTCTATAAACTCTCTGTCCCCACAGCCCATCTCCTCAGGACCGTCCTCTCATGCCGACCTCACCTGGCCTCCTTATCACACCCTCCAGTCCATCTACATGTGCCCCTAGGGTCTTTCTGTACCCAGAGCTGACCCTGCCTTTCCTCTGCTCCCAGTCCTCCCGTGGCTCCCCAGTGCCCTCAGGACAGAGTCCTTAGCTTGGTGTTCTGCGTGATTGGTCACTATTGACCGTTCCATGCCAACCCTACCTTACCCTTTCTCCCCACACATGTCAGCACAGAGACCTTCAGGACACACCTAACAGGTCACTTTCTGGCCACTCCCAGGTCTCCAACTATTTAAATTGGGTCCTCATATCCTCCGTTATAGCAGAGTGATATTTCTATTCAGAGAACTTTCACAGCTTGTGAAATTGTTTAATATCATCCTCTCCCACTAGACATAAAAACCATTACTCCCGGCCCCTGGGACAGTGTCTGACACCCAGCAGCGACCTGATAAATATTTAATGAAAGGATGGATGGGGGCGCCTGGGTGGCTCAGTCGTTAAGCGTCTGCCTTTGGCTCAGGTCATGATCCCAGAGTCCTGGGATCGAGCCCCGCAGTGAGCCCTGCATCAGGCTCTCCGCTCAGCGGGAGGCCTGCTTTTCTCTCTCCCACTCCCCCTGCTTGTGTTCCCTCTCTCGCTGTGTCTCTGTCAAATAAATAAATAAAAAATCTTAAAAAAAAAAAAAAGGATGGATGGACAAGGGAATAAATCAATGAACAAATGCCTTATGCTCCCCTCTCCTATACACACCTTTACCTAAGCTGTATCCTTGGCCTGGGATATTCTCCCCGTGTATCTCCACTCCCACTCCACCCAGCACCTTGCTATTTCCCACTCATCGCTTAGAAACAACCTCTACCAGGAAGCCCAATGGAGCCCCTCATTTTGAGGCAGAGGCCCCTTCCTCCAAGTCCCACATGAGAATGTTTCTCTCTCAGGCTCTAATGGCCTACTGTGCACCTGTTCCAGTCAAGTGCTAGCCCCCAGTGTCCAGGAGAGGGAGGCACGGGCTGAATGTGTCAATGAACAAGCCGACTGATAATCTAGGACCCAGTGCACCATCCCCTGGACGGGAGCCGGCAGCTTCTAGGTACATACCAGCCGGCAGGCCATCTGGAACACAGACTTTACCGACATTACATGCTTTGGGTTGTCATCCAGGGCCGACTGAAGGCTCCTCCCCAGCATGGGAAACACCAAGAACCTGGAAGATAGGAGCATCCCAGGAGGTGGGAGAGATGACCACAGGAAGGGGCAGAATACAGGCCACCGAGGCTGGACTCTGGCTGGGTGGCTCTAAGGTCCCAGTCACGGGCAAGACCAAGGGTTCCTGATTGTGAGGGGATCAGCCTGGCTCAAAGCCGGGGAGAAGGAAGCCACAGCGTCCCCGGAACATGACACAGAGAGAAAAAATGGGACCAGCGAGGTGGCTGGCAAGTGAAGCGACTCACCTGTACTTGTCCTGGTGAATACCAAAACCGACACAGGTGGGGACGGCCAGTAGGGGGACTGCGTTCAGCTTCTTCCACTTGTTCACTGCGGGAGGCAGGGGAGCGAGAGATCAGAGCACCCTGGTCCCGGGGCCCACGGCCCGTTCTCAGGGCAGAATCAGAGAGTGCCTGAGCCCAGGCCAGACTGTCAGGCTCCTGGTCAGAGATGCCACCTCTGTGGGTGGGTGAGAGCGGGGTGGTGACAGGGGGCGCATCACTGACCTCTGACTGTAACCTACATCTGCAAGGGACAGGGGGTGAGCCCGGCCGAAAGCATATACAAATCTGGCATGCAAGGGACAAGGACAACAGAGTGACCTCTGAATTCACGTGTATCATTAGTAAGGTCAGGAAATGTCTCAACGGGTCATGGCATCAATCAGAGGTCTGCCCGTCTCCCAGGATCTCAGTTGGATGGTAGAGAGCCAGTGGTGTGCTGATAAAAGTTTAATGACTGGCTGTCCAGGGAAAAACAGCGCTGACTGCTCGTGTTTGCCGATTTTTGTGGTGTGAACACTTCCCACCATGGCCCATTTCAGGCCATGGATCTGAGATCACAGATTGTGGAGCTGGGAGAGACACCAGCACGCCATCATATGGTATTTTCGCCAAGCAGATACAATGGATGTGAGCAATGGATGAGGTCTGTGTTCCAGATGGCCTGCTGGCTGCTACGTACCTGGACAAACAATTAGGAAGTGAAGAGTTTTGAGGATCTGAATATTTACTATTGATCTTAACATAATGTATTTGATTGTAAGTTGATGTAGTTAATTTTAAATAATGAGTCTGTTTAGCGACTGCCTTGTGGTCCTGAAAATCGAACGCTTGGCTCTCCAGAGCTGGTACAGTCGGCCTCAGCCCGTGCTGTCTGTCTTCTGAGGCCTAAGGCCTGACGGGTGACGGGGCACATCTGGGCCTGTAATGTCATCCCCACCTTTCCCACCCCTTTAGGGGGAAGCTAGCTGTTCTGACCAAGCTAGTAGCCCCAACTCTCTCCCCCTTTTCCCATTTCCCTGCAGAATACCTTGCAAAGGCTTGGCGGCCCGCTGGAAGAAGTTCTGCTCGTTGAACAAGCGCCCATCCTTGGCATCCTAGTTGGGAATGGCAGGGGGAGAAGGCTGTCACAGCGGAAGTTCTTAGACAAGGTCGTCACTAGCCACGCATCATCCCAGGTTAATGCCAGCAACCGCCACCATGACCCCCACATCAGAACCAAATTCCCTAGGGTGCTGCATGTGAACATATGATCTCCCACTGCCCAGATTCCTCTTCTTTTATGCTAGGATCCGCAAGTTTTCCTAGGCATGTGGCCTTCAGCTAGAAACTACATTTCCCAGCCTCCCTTGCAGTGAAGAATGACCCTATGACCAACTTCTGCTCTATAGAGATGTAAGCAGATGAGATGTGGGCGGCTTTCGGATTATGCCCTCAAAGGGCTGGGCATACTCTCCCTTTCCTCTTCTGTTCCAGTTGGCTGGAATGCAGAGGAGATGGCAGGAGCTGGGGCAGCCACCTCAGCCCATGAAATGGAGGTTATACACAAGTGGTACAGCTGGCTTCTTAAGAGGACAGGGTTAAAGAGAGCTAGGTTCAAATCTCAGCTCTGCCATTCACTCCTTCTTTGTACAAAGCACCTATTATGTGCTGAGTATTCTACTGGCATTGGAAATACAGCAGTGAACAAAGCAACTTGCATGCTGCGTGTCCCTGGGCACGTGATCAAGTCCCCATTTCCTCATATGTTAAATGGGGGGAGCTAAAAGTAACTACCTCCCAGGCTTGCTTGTGAGACTCAGCCCAGGGCTGGGCACAGAACAGGCTCTCTCTCTTTTAATTTTTTAAAAATTTCATTATTCTTATGATTATTTTTTCAGAACAGGCTCTCAACAAGCAGGTGCCATTACTCATCTGCGAGCCTGGCTCCAGAGCCCACTCACGCAGCCCCCGTCTAGGGCCATGGCGGTGGGGCACCAAGACTGGCTGCCCCAGTGTTTTGGGGGGGGGGTGGTGAGAAAATCTGAATAAATGAAGGGAAGAAAATAAAAGTCACCCGTAAGTCCAGCTCTCAGGGATAATGATGAGGCTACTAACCAGGACGATACACTCTTATTAGACTCTTCCTCTATGATGAGGGATGCGACTCGCCCGCCTGGCTGCTCTCTTTCTTGGTTGGTTGGTTTTCCCTTTGGGCCCCCCTCGAGTGCATGTTTCTTGTGTGCTAAGGTTGTGCATGATTTCACAGACTCCTCAAGTGCGGGGACCCCATCTGATTGCTTGTCTGATGGGCCCCATCACCCAGCACAGTGATATATAGTAGATGATCAAGAAATACACACTATGAGACAGATAGGCAAGTTGGGGCACACAATGTGGATACTGGGGCTCCCTCGCCCAGATGAGGAAACTCGGCCCCAGGAGGGGAGAAGGCACTTGCCCAGACTGCACAGCCTGACAGCACCAGAACCAGGGCGCAGGGTGGACCTCGTGGCAGCTTCCGAGGCCCTCAGTGATAAAGAACCTGAGGCTGGAGGGAGATGTGCCGGGCCCAAGATCCCACTGCCCCCCCGCAGGCCAAGGCAGGGCTCTGCAGCCTGTGCCAGCCCTCAGAGAGGCCCGGAGGTTGAAGGTGCCCAAGCCGCAGGCCCTCCCCCTTGGCACCGCCCCGGGGGATACTCACGAGTTTAAGCGAGAATGTCTGTTTCTGACTTGACTTGCAGGCGAAGGTGGAGATAGCCTCAGCTGTGGGTGGACAAAACAAGCCAAGTTATTATCTACAGGGAAGACAAGAGTCATGGTCCTCAAACTTCCTGGTAACGAGTGGCACTTTTGTTTCTCTGGTTCCCTCGGGGTCAAGTGTATTCTTGGCTTTCAAGACCCCTTCCTTCCTATTTTCTTTTTCTTTTTTTTTAAAGATTTTATTTATTTATTTGACAGAGATAGAGGGAGAGCACAAGTAGGCAGAGCGGCAGGCAGAGGGAGAAGCAGGCTCCCTGCTGAGCAGGGAGCCCGATGCGGGGCTCGATCCCAGGACCCCAGGATCATGACCTGAGCTGAAGGCAGCCGCTTAACCGACTGAGCCACCCGGGCGCCCCCCTTCCTATTTTCAAACAGGTTCTTGTTTTTTTTCTTTGTTGATATTCAGCTACATAAAAAAGGTTATTGACGAGAAGGCCCGACTGCTCTCCTTGGAAAGACTTGCTTACAAGGGTGGCCCTTGGCTGGTGTCTGGGACCCTGGGTCTGAGGAGGGATCCAGCATTCTCTAACAATAAGAGGGGCCCCCTGTGCCCAAACTATCATGCTGAACAGCTGCTTTCCTTCTGGGAGTCTAGAATTTTGGTACGTTCCAGGCAGGGTGCGCCTATGTGACCAGCTCTCAGTAAAAACCCTGGGTGCTGAGTCTCTCAGGACTATCTCTGGTAGACATACTACACGAGCTGTCACACCTCCTTGTGCAGCCTGTGTGACTCCACGGGGAGAGGACTCCTGGAAGCTGGTGCTGGTCTCCCCCAGACTTCATGTGTCTTTCCCCCCGTTGCCTGAGCTGTGTCCTTTTGCTGCAATGAATCGTGGCATGAGAACAGCTACGTGCTGAGGCTTGTGGATGGGTCCTCTCTGTGAATAACTGAGCCTGGGGGTGGTCCTGGGGGCCCCCAACACACCAGCTCTTTGCATTTGTCTACACATATGGGGAAGTACAGATGCAGATCCCCTGCGAGGAAGGACTTGTTGCCCCAGCCCCGCCCACCCGGGGAGCACCATCACAAGTAGCCTTCAGTCCCTCAGCGGTCCACTCAGCTGCAATCCCGGGGTGGCCCATATCCAACAGGTTTTCAAGGGGGATATAAAGGCCCAGCTGTGTTGGCCAGACACAGAACCATGCTGAAGGACCACTCCCGCTCCAGAGTCCCCGTGGGGCCGGCTGAGGCTATAGGGCTGGGCTGCACCCACCATCCACCTCCTTCTTCCCCTCTGCCTCATAAACACTCTGCACGTTCGTCCCATTCTGTTCAGTTACCAACCCCATGCTAAGTGTGGGCTTTACACAGATGGTTTCCCTTTAAGGTCTACTACGATGTTATTATTACTGCGCTCGCTGTCGTCAACGCCACCTGCTGGAGTAGATGAGAGAGGCGGGTCAGAGAAGCCAAGGGACACACTGGGCCACCAACTCTCTGTGTGACTTCGCACGAGGTGCTAGACCTCTCTGGGCCTCTACTGCCACGTCTGTGAAATAGGAGTGATGAAGCCTGCCCCCGGGGTTGGACGCAAGGGTGCAGACGGGCCAGCAGGAACGATCACGGTAGGGGCTGAGTGCGCATCATAGCTAGCTTCCTCCTTCAAACGCACCACTCGATGAACCCAGCAGCCCCAGAGCCGAGCACCAAGCCTGGCTCACAGGGAGTGCTCAATGTGTGGCAGCTCTCAAAATATCGTAAGTAGCACAAGGGCCCACCGCCACTGAGTGGCAGAGCCGGCTCCGCCTCGCTCATCCAGAGCCCATGAGCTGAAACACTATAGTCCATCCCCGCGGCTCTCTGAGTCCTCACTCCTTTCTCTCGTCTTTCCTACTCCTTAATCATCCAGGTTGGTGTTGTCTAGGATGCTGAGCTGACGGACAGGGAGGTGACAGTTACCCATCCTCGCTCTCAAGAAGCACTGGTTGGAGCAGGGTCGGAGCCCAGGGTTTACAAATTCAGGGCCAAGGGTGACCTGAGTCCAGTCTATAAGAGGGAAATGTGTCAAGGGCTCAGATCTCAGGGTACAGAGGGGTGCTTTCCAGCTACGAGAAGCGGGCTTGGGGAGATCGTCAGCAGGTGTCTGGAGCTCACTGTGGCACCTCTCACGAATACTAACCCTGCTCAGAGTTCCCGCACGGGCGGGTGACAGGTACACGCCTGACGCTCAGAAGCAAGCAGGAAGAGCTGGTAACTTAAATACGATCCCCTGCACTACTCTGCAGATCATGAAGGGCTTTTCTCTTCCGCTCCTCTAACTGGCCCTCCTGCCAATAGCCCGGGGTGCTAGCTGGGCCATTCCCATTACAGAGGGGAGCCAACAGAGGCCCAGGAGGGGCAGTGCGCTTGGCCAATGGCTCCTGCAGGGCCTGGCTTTCAACCCAGAGCTCCAGACTCTGTGACCTAGGGAGACCCCTGTCTCATGCACATCTGATACATGGAAAGTCCCTACGTGCTCCCAATGCTGACAAGGGCGTAGCAGGCGAGCAGGTGGAAGCCCCCAACTGCCAGAAGATGAGCGATGTTGAACCTGGAGCGAGAAAGCTGCTCTGGGATCCATCATGACCAGAACAATGACAGGAAGCATTTGTACTGTGCTTGCTGCTTTCCTGTGCATTGGTCCACCCATGTAGCTTTCCCAACAACGACCCTGCGAGGTCAGTACTATTTTTTTTTTTTAAGATTTTATTTATTTATTCATGAGAGACAGAGAGAGAGAGAGAGAAGCAGAAGGAGAAGCAGGCTCCCAAGGAGCAGGGAGCCTGATGCGGGGCTCGATCCCAGAACCCTGGGATCATGACCTGAACCGAAGGCAGACGCTTAACCGACTGAGCCACCCAGGCGCCCATGAGGTCAGTACTATTATCATCCCATTCTGCAGGTGAGGAAACTGAGGCATAAGGTCATGACATCACTTGAAACTGAACGAGGTCAGACAACTAGCTGCCAGCAGAGGCAGGGGACAGCTCACAAGGTCCGGCTACACTCTCCCACCTCCCTGCGAGGGGAGGGCTTGCTGGAGACTCTGGGCACCCCACACCCCCTCTCACTGCCAGCAACGCTAGGGTCTTGATGCTTCCTGTTCCTGTTCCTGGGTTTCTAGCCTCTGAGTCTTTGCCTATGCCCCGCCTTAGTCTAGCATGCCCATCTCTGCCCTAACTTCTTTGTCCCAGTTTGGAAGGTGCTTAATAAAACTGTAGCGCTGGGGAGCCTGGATGGCTCAGTTGGTGGAGTGTCTGATTCTTGGTTTCGGCTCAGGTCGTGATCTCACGGTCGGGGAGTCAAGCCCTGCTCTGGGCTCCACGCTCAGCGGGGATCTGCTTGACATTCCCTCTCTCCCTCTCCCGCTGCTCCTCCCCCACTCGTGTGCACTCTCTCTCAAATAAATAAATCTTTAAAAAAATAAAATAAAATCACAGTGCTTCCACCTGACGGTTAGCAAATGATGGAGTCTCCCCATAGCTGGAGGCATGTTTGGGATGGCCTGACTCAGTGGGTTTCAGTCACTCTCAGTGGGCATCCGACAGTGCCTGGAGATAGTTTCGGTTGTCACAATAGGGGGAGGGGAGGGGTGTTACTGGTGTCCAGTGGTTTTTCTAGTGGTGTCTAGCGGTTCTCCCAAACTGTTCTGGGGAGATAGGGAGGATGACATCATAACTCAGGAGCTGACAAGGAAAAGAGTGCCAACTCACAGGGCTGCATGAGTAAGGGAGTAAGATGAGCTGATTGGTGGGATGAACTGAGGACGGGGCACAGAGTGGGTCAACAGTGTCAGCGGCTGTGAAAAAAAAAAAATCCCAATTCTGGCTGCTGTTGTTGTTTAACTGTTACTGTTTTTTGTGTTGTTTTTTTTTTAAAGATTTTATTTATTTGACAGAGAGAGAGATAGCGAGAGCAGGAACACAAGCAGGGGGAGTGGGAGAGGGAGAAGCAGGCCTCCCGCAGAGCAGGGAGCCCGATGTGGGACTTGATCCCGGGACCCCAGGATCGTGACCTGAGCCGAAGGCAGACGCCCAGTGACTGAGCCACCCAGGCGCCCTAACTGTTACTGGTTTTAACTACAGGACATAAAACTGCACCACTTCTTGACTGGTGCAAGCTGGCAGAGGAGAAAGGCGATGTGCCCGGGGGTGACTCGGCCCTGGGACACATGCAAACGCGCTCCGCAGCCCTTACGAGCCCTGCTCCCCACCCCAACAGTGGCCCATGCCCATCTGGCACTTCCAAATCAAAGATTTCTGAGCAAAATCCAGATTTCTGGCCTTTCCTGCAAACTCGGAAGATCTCGGAGCCAGGTCTCCGGCTGGTTATTGACATCTCCGGGACTCGTGTCCCTCCTCTAGGCCACGGGGACAGTGACAGTGCTGGTGTCCACCGTGAGTTAGGAAGTACGAAGACAACACTCACGGCAGCAGCACTAGTCTTCACGGCCCAAAGCGGGAACAATCCACACGTCCGCCAACCAACCGGTAAATGGGGAAACCGAACACGATACACATACACCGAGTATTGTTCAGCCACAAGGTGGAATGAAGTTCCGACAGACGCTATGATGCGGATGGGCCTTGAAAACATCATGCTGGGGGAAAGAAGACAGATGCAAGATCTGAAACGTCCACAACAGAGAAACCCAGAGAGATAGAGAACAGTTAGCGGATGCCCGAGGCTGGGACGAGAGGGACGGGGAGCGAGTGCTTCGGTACAGGGCTTCCTTTCGGGGTGATGGGAATGTTCTGGAACGAGATACGAGTGATGGCTGCACAGCACCATGAATGGACTGTATCCCACTGAACTGCAGACTTTAAAATCGTCAATTTCATGTTATGTGGCTTTTATCTCAATTAAAAAAACGGCAAAACCTCCCACAAAGCACTTAGAGCACAGTGTGGCCTTGAATAAGCACTTGATAAACATTGGGTTGGTTAATACTAATACTTCCAGCACAGCTCTTTTTTCTTCATTGTAACAAGGTGTCTGACTCATTTTTTAATGTCTGAGGACACCAGCCTCTAAACCAGGTCCTGCCTCTTCCTCTCCGGCCCCACATCTGGGCAGGCTGATAAGCAAGCCTGGGGGGTGGGGGTGGGGCTCCCTCCTTGGCTGCTGGTGGGAGATGCAAATCATGGGAGGCCCTGGCCCCAGAGCAGGAACCCTCACTCTGGCCCCACCCCTTAAACAAATAAAAACCCAAACCAGGCGCCTTTCCTTCCTCTCCTCAGGGGGTGAAGAACTGCTTTCCCCCAGAAACCTCAATTATGCAAGCAATTAGTCACGCATATCCTCCATCACCACTCTCAACATTCAAACCAAATTTTAGGGGGAGGGGGTTCCACGCCGCCTCTGCAGAACAGACAGAACACTCATCATCATCCTTTTCATTCAGCCACCCTGGGCCTGCACTCCCCCACGACGAAGGTGGAGGTGGGGAGTGCCTCTTTACACAGGGCACAGGCTTTCCAGTTGGCCACAGTCCCCACCATTCCCAATTGTTCGTTCTCGGACTCCTGCACACATTTACCCTACCTGCCCAGCCCCTGTGGGTGGGTAGCTCTGCAGTCCCAAGTCTACAAGAAAGCTGTCCAGAGGCAGGTCTGCAGCTGGGAGATGGCATCCATTTCCATTCTCAAAAAGGTGTTCCCTTCCCCTTGCCCTGGCTCAAAGACACCCCGGCCGAGCCCAGTGCCTGCCAGCCTGCGGACAGCGTACCTTTATAGAGAATGCCCTGGTCGTCCCTGGTCTGGAGGGGTCCCAGCTTCCAGTGCCGCCCACTCTTGTCTGTCACCACCGTCCCTGTGGGCAGAGCCTCAAGTGAGGTAGTCACCCGGCTCCGCTTCAGTGTCTGCGGGCTTTGCTTGGTCGCCTGTGGGCTTCGCTTGGTCGCCTGTGGGCTTCGCTTGGTCGCCTGTGGGCTTCTCTTGGTCGCCTGCGGGCTTTGCTTGGTCGCCTGTGGGCTTCGCTTGGTCGCCTGCGGGCTTCGCTTGGTCGTCTGCGGGCTTCGCTTGGTCGCCTGTGGGCTGCTTTTGGGGGTTGGGGGTCTGCTCCAGGACCCTGCAGGAGGATGGTCAGAATAAAGAAAAAGCAGCATCCAGGAGAGAAAAGTTGGATGGGTAATAGGACAATGCTTGTCATACAGTTCATTTATTCATGTGCTCATTCAACACATGCTTCCTGGGACCTTTCATGAGTCAGGTCCTTGTGTGATAAAGCTGGAGATCCAGACATGACTCAGACCTGGGCCCTTCCCTTGGGAGCCCCTAATTTGGTCGGGGAGTCTGACCTGGACACAGCTGGTCAGAACTGAGTCTGAAACAGGGCAGTAAAGAGGAATATGAGAGACTGATAATGCCTTGAGAAGTCAAGAGAGGCTTCTGGGAGGAGGGGACATTTGAGTTGGATCTTGTTGGATGAGCAGAAGTTTACCAAGGGGAAAAAAGACATTCCAGACATTCAACCAAAGACATCCTGAAACAGGACCTGGCCTTGTGCTGAGTATAAAGAAGGTTCGGAAATTTGTTAGACAGAGACCCTGCCCTTGAGGGGCTCCCAGGCTGGCAAGAGAATGGGATGGCATGGTGAGGAGAGAGGTGTGGACACAAGAAAGGATATTATCTACTCCATTCCTCCCCCCACCATCCACCCAAGGCACAGAACAGCAACAGGCAGAGGGGTCTGGAGCATAACAAGGGATGGAGGGGAGGCACCGAGGGCTGTGACTTTAGATCCAAGGGCCCCCTACAAAGGAGATGGGCACCTGGTCCTCAAGACTCCCATGCTTGCTGGCTGGCACCAGGCCTACGCAGATGAGTCTACCTGGTCTCCGCCCACACAGGACTTTCAGTCCATCAAGTGAGGCAGAAAGGATGAGGGTTCAGGCAGGGTAGGGGATCCCTGAGCAGGGGAACAAAGCCCCAAACTGTCCAACAACCCACCTTTTCCCCATTGAGTCGGGCCAGATTGACCCCAACTCTCACCTTTGGATCTCACAGTACCTTTAGACCCAGAACTGTCACCAACCAAGCAGCAGGATGATGAGGGGGAGGTGACAGAGCTGGACCATTTCACTTTCTTGGAAGGGATTTCAGGACTGGCACTGCTCTGTCTCCTTGAGCCTAGAGGAAGGGAGATCGGATGCAGACTGGGATTACAAAGGCCTTTTCCAGGAACCTCTAAACCAAGAACCCTGAGGACACATTTGACCACTCTCTTCCCTCTGACCCTAGAGTCAAGCCTTGCTTCTCCTGTCACCTAAATATCTAAGCAAACTGTCCCTTCACTTTAGTTATGTTTTTTTCCTCCTTGGGTCTTGGTGTCTCTTGTGTGTCTTTTATCGCTTTGTCATTCTGCTCTCTACTAGGCAATTTCTTTGAACCTATCTTCCACTTCACTAATTCTCCCTTCAGCTGTGTCTGGTTGGCAGTTAAACCATCCAGTGAGTTTCTGGTTGCCACAATGATGTTTGTTTTTATCATTGGAGGTTTGATTTGGTTCTTTTTCAAATTGATTTGGTTGCTTTTCAATTCTAACTTCTGTTTCTTCACTGTATTTTGAATTTCTTCTTTTATTTCTTTAAACATGTTAAATGTGTTTTGGACATATTCTCATCTGTTAATTCTGAGGTCTCTGGTCATTGTGGGTGTGATTCTATAGTTTGGTGTTTGTCCTGACACTGGCCTTTTCCTGGTGTCTTTTTTTTTTTTTAAGATTTTATTTATTCATTTGAGAGAGACAGTGAGCAAGCAAGAGAGCACAAGTGGCAGAGGGAGAGGGAGGGGCAGACTCCCTGCTGAGCAGAGAGCCTGATGTGGGGCTCAATCGCAGGACCCTGGGATCATGACCTGAACTGAAGGCAGACGCCCAACCGACTGAGCCATCCAGGTGTCCTTCCTGGTGCCTTTTGATTGACTGGGAGCTCCTGGTCCTAAGAGAATTCTCTAAGGCAGAGGCAGAGGGAGAGAATCTCAAGCAGACTCTTTGCTGAGCATGGAGCCTGACTCGGGACTCCATCTCATGACCCTGAGATCATGACCTGAGCTGAAATCAAGAGTCGGATGCTTAACTGACTGAGCCACCCAGGCACCCCCTAAGGCCTGTCTTTAAAGGGTATTCCCCAAGAGAAGGTTTGCCTCTGTTGGAGAGGGGCACCCATACCTCATTGCTTTTACACTAACTTTCCCGCTTGGGTTTTTCTGGGGGCTACACATATCAGTACAAATTCTGGCCCCAAACTGGTGAGGATGTGAGTTCTTGGTTAGGAATTCTCAGAAAGGACATTCTTCCATCTTTCACTCACAACCAAGGCTGAGACAGACAAATGTCTTCACCAACTTTCTCTGTGGAACTTTTGTTGTTGTTGTTGTTGCAGTTTAGCCACTGAGGAGTCCCGGATTTTAAGTTTTCCAATCTCACCTCTTGCACTGTTCAGGCCATAAGTTTTGTCTCTTATACTCCATTAAAACCCAGGCTCGAAACCACCAGTGCCTGGCAAACAGTCCAGGACCACCACCATCCATGGCACACACTCAGCCCTGTGGGTCTGTGTTTTCTTACTGTTTCTCGTTTCTGCGGAATTCACTCACTGAGTGATAGGACCCACTCAGCCCTGCTTTTCAAAACAGATACTTTATATTTTATCCAGCATTTTGTGGGGTGCTGAACCTTAAGGGGCTTTTGCTGATCATTTAGTCTGCCATATTACTAAAAACAGAAGTCTTCTTTCCGTTGCTGCTAACTTAACTAGCATGGCTGGTTCCTGGACTGCTGGAATGAATGGCTTCCGAACTGGTTTCTCCTCTCTTTCTTCCTTTTTTTTTTTTTTTTAGAGAGAGCGAGCATGCGAGTGCAAGTGGGGGGAGGGGCAGAGGGAGAGAGAAAATCTTTTTTTTTTTTTTTAAAGATTTTATTTATTTACTTGAGAGAGAGAGAGAGAGAGAGAGCATGAGAGAGGGGAGGGTCAGAAGGAGAAGCAGACTCCCTGCTGAGCAGGGAGCCTGATGCGGGACTCGATCCCGGGACTCCAGGATCATGACCTGAGCTGAAGGCAGTCGCCCAACCAACTGAGCCACCCAGGCGCCCGGAGAGAGAGAATCTTAAGCAGGCTCTGCACCGAGGATGGAGCCCAACACGGGGCTCCATCTCACAACCCTGCCATCATGACCTGAGCCAAAATCAAGAGTGAGACACTTAACTGACTGAAGCACCCAGGCGCCCCCACTTCCCACGTTCCAGAGAGGTCTTTTCAAAATACAATCATATTGTATCTCTCACTTGGTAGAAACCCTCCACCGACTACATCAGTGATTATTAACCTTACCCATGGTCTACATAGCCCTGCCTGTCTACCCCCAGTCAAGATGTCTGTCTGTATTTTTCCAACATGCATGACTCCTCCCACCACATGGCCTTTCCCTTTACCATGCCCCAATGCCTGGAACTCTTGTGACTCCTTCACCTCGACCCCATTCTTCACTTACCTAACTTTTATCATCCCTTGGTCTTGGCTTAAATGTTACCCACTGAGGGAGGCCTTCCTTGATCCCCCCAGAAACAAAGCTCCCTTATGTGGGTTCCACGGTCCATCCATTTCCCTTCTGTTATCATATGCTCTCCTGGTAGTTGCTTATTCAATGTCTGTTTGCCCTACTGGCTTCCAAAAGCTCTGAGAAACCAGACACCGGGTACGTGTCATGTGTGTTATTACCTCCCTGGGACAGACAGCACCTAAGTACACAATAGGCGGTCCATGTGTATTTGTTGCCTGATGACTGGGTGAATGAATAATGAACTGAGCCCTAGGTTGGCATTAAAGAAGGCTGTGGTTAAAACTCAGGCTCTGGGGGCACCACTGGTTAAGTGTCCGACTCTTGGCTTCGGGTCAGGTCATGATCTCAGGGTCGTGAAATCGAGTCCTGAGTCAGGCTTTGTGCTCAGCAAAGAGTCTGCTTGAGATTCTCTCCCCCTGCTCATGCTTGTGCGAGCTCTCTCTCTCCCTCTCTGAAATAAATAAATAAATCTTAAAAAAAACCCCTCAGGCTCTGAACTCAGTGAAGGTAAATACTGTTGGCAGCTGTCTGGAATGCAGATAAAATATTGGAGATGAAGAGCCATCTTGAAAACTCAAGGCAATAAGCATGGGGGGCGGAACCCATCTCCTCAGGATGGCTGAGTAGAAAGACAGGAGGAACCTGGGTCCCTTGTGGCATCACAGGGACACCATTCCTCCACTGGACTGGTCCCTGCAGACTTTTTTAGTATGAGAAAAATAAACCCATTCTTTTTTTTTTAAACTCTTGAGGAAGCATTTTTCTGTTACTTGCAGCCAAATGCAATCTCAAATGATAAAATGTCATGTATGCCGACTTCCTTCTGTGGCCTTCAGACAAGTAAACTCACTTTGATTTTTCAATGCAGGACCTGTGGTTGGGCTTCCCATTGGCCAGGACCTACAGCTGATATTTCATTCATTCAGTCCATCAATCAGTGAGATTTCTCAGCACCCAACTCTGCCAGGTCTTGGATGCCAAGCAAGACAGCAGTGAGAGGTGAAGGAGGGACGGACCAGGAGGTGGCAGAAGTGGGCTGATTGGGCATCGATTTTGAAGGGAGAGTGGACAAGATTTGCCAGAGGGCTGAAGTTGTGGGGTGGAAGAGAAAGAGGACTGAAGGATAATGACTGCAGGGTCTGGTCTAAGAAACTGGATTACCACTCCACGACTCAAAGTCTACAGAAGAGACAGATAGGCAGGCGGCACTCACATCAGGAGCTCAGCTCTGGGCATGTGTGGAGATGCGTATGGGACACACAACAGGTGTTGCAGGGATTCTGATATGCACATATGAACCTGGATTTCAGGGGAGGAGTGCAGGCTGGAGACAGAAACGTGTGAGTTGTCAACTTGAAAGCCACGAGGCCAATCAGATGCCAAGAAACTGAGTGTAGACAGAGCCTGAGTCCTGGGCAGCTCCGGGATCAATGCAGGGTCAGACAGCCTGCAAAGGCGACTGTCCTCCCTCCCCAAATGCACGCGCACACACACACGCACTCATCATCCCTCAGAGGCCTGGTTCTTACCTTGGCAGGATGATATAATCGGTCTGACAAGGGTCTGGGGCCTTTCATGCTCAAAACATGGCTCAGACAAAGGTTTTCCGCAGTAGGGGCAGAATCTGAATGCTGCTTCCATACTTTTGCCACAGTCTGGACAGAAGGTGATCATGCTAGGAAACAATGGGTGGAGGGAGGGAACAGGAAGCTGAAAGCGAAACTGAATGCACCACCAGTGAGTCATCTGAGCTCCCCGAAGTGACGAGATTGCAAGAGGGAGGTAAGTTATCCCGTTGGAACAGACTCTCTTAGGAAGTGGCCACTTCGGAAATGAGTTCCTGCCCACCGCATCCGGCCTCTAGCCACGCATCTCTCCCTCGTGGCCCAGGGCGGGTAAAAAGCAGAAAAATGCAACGTGAAATTGTGGGTTTCACAGGAGACACGGGAATGCCTCGGAGTCCACGGAAGTCATGCAGGAGATTTGCTCCAGTCACGGGAACACGGAGGGTCTCCCGCCATTATCCGTGATGTTCATTTTTTGAAACACACGATAGGGATCGGAGAGACAGCGAACGTTCGCCAATCAGCCACATGCTCCCCTACACTTCCCGGGCTCCCCCTGCCCCCACCCTGCAGTTAGATTGGGGCCACGTGACTAGTTCTGGCCAATGGCGTGTGAGTGGAAGTCACTTCCAGCTGAGGCAGTTAAGAGCTGGACGGCCTCCTCCGTCCGCCTGTCCACAGCATGGAGGCCTCTGGGCGCCACATGCTCCGGGTGGCATAGCTGCAAGATGGAAGAGGGTGGCCTGGTCCACACTGGAATCTCATGATCAGCAAATGAACTTATGTTGCATGAAGCCACCAGGACTTTACAGTCTGTTAAAGCTATACAGCCCGTCTTATCCTGACATACTTAGACACATTATCCTCTAGGCCTTGCGTGTCTCTGGAATATTTCCTAATACTTGTAAAAATCAAAACCAAAGTCACACACAGAGCCCATTACAAATGAGGACAGGGCAGGAGTATTCATTTGCTTGGACTGCCGTCCCTAAACACCACCCACTGGGTGGTTTCAATGACAGGAATTTATTTTCTCAGAGTTGTTTTTTCTTTTTTTTTAAAGATTTTATTTATTTGACAGAGAGAGACACAGCGAGAGAGGGAACACAAGCAGGGGGAGTGGGAGAGCGAGAAGCAGGCTACCCGCGGAGCAGGGAGCCCGATGCAGGGCTCGATCCCAGGACCCTGGGATCATGACCTGAGCCGCAGGCAGACGCTTAACTGAATGAGCCACCCAGGCGCCCCTGTTTTCTGAGTTTTGGAGGCTAGAAGTCTGAGATCAAGGTGTGAGAATGGGGCGCCTGGGGGCTCGGTTGGCTAAACGTCTGCCTTCAGCTCAGACATGATCCTGGGGTGCCGGGATTGAGCCCCGCATCCGGCTCCCTGCTCAGCGGGGAGTCTGCTTCGCCCTCTCCCTCTGCCCCTCACCCCTGCTCATGCTCTCTCTCTCAAATAAATAAATAAATAAATAAAATCCATGGCAGTTTTAAGTGGCTTTGCTTTGTGTGGAATTTTCCCCAGTGCCAAGTGCCTTGGCTAAAGACGGCCTCTAGGATGGGGCAAGAGCCTAACTCAGTGACCCTGCCACGCCCATGATAACCTTCCTCCTGGGAGTGAAGTCTGAGAGCAGGAACATCGAGTAGATGGAACAGGAGCAAGCTGTGGGTGGTGAAAAGGCCTTAAGGGGCATGTCCCTGAGGGGATGGTACCTTTTATGGGGTCACAGTCTGGCCCTCAGATTCACTGGGCTGGCAAGTCCATCTTAACAGTATCCTGTAAGTGAATAAAAGTGGAGAGGTTGACTCAGGCCCACTTCACATATGAGTGGAAGATAATGGTTACTGTTTATTGATCATTGGCGACATAGCCAGCATGTGCTAAGTTCATTCATTCATTCATTCAGTAATCATTCACTGAACTCCTGATATGTGCTAACCACTGAGGATACAGCAGCGAAGGCAACAAACAGACTCTTGACCTGAGAAAGTTCACATTCTAGTGGCAGAAAAGGAAATTAATAAACAAATGAGCAACTGTTTAATAGGTCAGATGAAGGTAGTGCTAGTCAACACTCAAGAAATATGGATGCAAGAAGGGAGTCTCAAAGTGAAGTCACCTGTCCAAGGTCACATGGCTAGGACTTAAACCCAAGGCTCCAACACTCAGGGGTCTTTATCATCCATTCACCCATTTATTTTATTTATTCAACAAATATTTACTGAACATCTGCTATGTGTTAAGAATTGCGTCCCTCCGGGGCGCCTGGGTGGCTCAGTCGTTAAGCGTCTGCCTTCCGCTCAGGTCATGATCCCAGGGTCCTGGGTTCGAGCCCCACATCGGGCTCCCTGCTCAGCGGAAAGCCTGCTTCTCCCTCTCCCACTCCCCCTGCTTGTGTTCCCTCTCTCGCTGTGCCTCTCTGTCAAATAAATAAATAAAAATCTTTAAAAAAAAACAACTTAAAAAAAAATTGCGTCCCTCCTAGAATATTCTCAGCCACAGCACAGCAAAAGAGCTAAGGGCTGGACTCCACCTCCCCGCAGGAGGGACAGGTGTCCAGATGACCAGGATTCGCCTAGGCCCCGCCCTCCAAAGCAACCAGGGATGACATAGTGCCAAGGAGGGGCATCTGTCAAGCTCCCCACTAGCGCCGCCCACCTCCGTCGTAGTCACGACTACCAAGAGCCCACAGTGGCTTGCAGGGGTCGCAAGGGTAGGTCGCTTATCCCGGCGACCAGAAGTTTCTTTCATCGAGACCCCAGCCCCCGGGGATTCTGTCTCCCAGAAAGGATCGTGCTGACGTCACAGGCACCGCAACTGGACTGTGGTTAGTGGATCGGGAGACCTCCTCCTGCTCCGCCTCACTTTCCCCTCACCTCTGAACTCTGTTAGCGGGATGGGGAGCCAGACGTCCGCGGCCAAATTCTCCGACCCTTCCCGGAGAGTAGGACTCACCTTCTTAGTTGTCCCGCGCAAACTTCCGGGTGGCGGAACGTGCTGCGCGCGCATCCTCCACCCGAAGGGAGGACAGCGCCCGCGCAGGCGCTGCTGACCGCCAGACCGCCCTCGGGTCGTGCCGGGGAGGGATTATTTCCTCATCGTCCATCCCAATTCCACCCTCTTTTGGAAGGCTCCTGGTTCTACTGCGCATGTGCCAATTTGGAGCCAATCGTAAGGAGGGATGAACTACGAGGCATCTCTCCGCCTATCAGAGAGAGGTCATATTATCATTTTCCCCCCCTCAACTCCGCCCCTTACTTCCAAGCGTCTTTTCAGGAACTGTCTTTTCAGGAACTGCCTTCTCAACGCGTTTCCATGGCAACCCTCTGTCGCCTTCAGGCCGGAGTGCGCTGATTAGATTGTCGTTCAACAGGGTAAAAACTGGACAATACCCACACGCCACCTGGTCCCGATTTTGTTTCTACTCTATTTCCCAGAGTGCTCAGCGGAACCTGTAAGGCCGAGGAAGCGGGTGGAGATAGGAAGACAAGGGGCGGAGCCCGCACAGTCTTCTGGGAAACGGAGTCCTCGAGCTGGCGCGGAGTCTCCTGGGTGGAGTAGTTTGAGGAAATTCACGCGACGCCGGAAGTGGTTACGAGGCGCGAGTGAGAGGAGTTGGGTCAGCGTCTCCTTCCCGGCGGGAGTTGCGTCTGTTAATCCGGCGGACTGCAGTCTTCAGGTGAGGAGACGCCGAGGCTGGCGTCGCTGAGTACTCCGGAGGCTTGGGGGCCTCGTCCTTCCTGAGGGGTGACGGAATGCTCACGGGGCGATTTCGGCAAAGGGCGCGCCGTCTTGGGCGGTAGGTGTCTAGGTGAGGTCTTGAAGGCTGTCTTGTTTAGAGCCTGTTCTGGGCCGGGCTTTCGCTGAAACGGTTTCCAGTCCTCACCGGAACCCTTGAGAGGAGCGGTTAGATTTTATTTTGAGTGAGGAGTCTGAGGCCGAAGGAGGGGTTGAGTTGCTCGAAGTTGAAGCGAGGCAAATCTCGAGGGATGAATGAATGGGAGGACTTCTTCAGGAGGTCGAAGTATTTCACCTTCGAGCGCCTCCTGTGTGCCAGCCGCCGCGCTGTTCTCGGATTTCCTTCTGTCATCTCCGCAGCAGCGCTAAGTGCAGCTCCTCGCTTTTATCGGCTCCCTTGGCAGCATCTCGGGAATCACATATTTTCAGAGTTTAGAAAGTTAAAAGGGTGCGTATTTCATAGTTAGTCAACACCCCAGAGGGATCTGGGGCAATTCTTGGAAATTGATGATTTCTGCCGGGAAAGGCGTGAATCTTCACACTATACGCATCCTGTGGCGATTCGGGTTCAGTTTTGCTGTCAGTTTATGAATAAAGTTCTGGTTTTCAGAGCTTTTTTGGTTTTTAGAATGAACAGATGCGGGACTGTGGATCTGTTTCATTTGTCCCATTTTGTACATGGGGAAACCAGGCACAGAGAGCGTGAATGATCTAGATCTAGCCATGGCCCCACACTAAGAAGCAGCAAGACTTCCCAACTCCAGGGCCCACGATTTTTCAGTCCTGTAATTGTTTGGCTCAAGTTATTCTGACAGGCTGAGTGACCTTGAGCTTCACAGTCGGGCTCCAGTTTTTTCTGTCCCCTGGCTCAGAGTGTGTGAGATATGGACAGAACGTGATGTGAAAACTGTAGACGGAGGTCTCAAGCTCAGATGTCTCTGAGAGTCAGGCAGATAAGTTAAAGGAGAGAACCTGTCTGGAGGAGGGCTGTGGGGCATCAGGGAGCACTTGCCCCATCTAAGGGGGGTCGCTTTAAGTAGGCACCAACTGACAGATCAGCGGGCCAAATCTAGGATTTTTTGGACACTGGAAATATAATTTCTAAGCGAAATAAGTTTGAGGCTACTTAAAATAATTTTCTTTCAAAACCTCCTGTCTGCCAACACTGTGGGAAAAACAAAAACAAGAAAACACCACATCTGTGGACCAAATTATACTCACAAGTTGAGGCTTAACCTCCGTCATGTGAGGAAAATCACTGATGAGTAAATGTTAGCACTTACAAGTCTGCCACATTGCCTAATCTGCCATCAAAATCTGGAAAGCCCCGAAGATCATATTTTTCCATAAATTTGGTGTCCAGACCTAACTGGAACTGCTAAGAGTGATAACCTTTAATTATCCTACCTAGAGTGAATATTTATACCCGTCACTCTAGAAATAGCGACGTGTTCAATTACAAAATGCTGCTTGTCCCACACTACACTGTGATTTTATTTTTTTTATTTTTATTTTT